AATCCAGAAACAAGTAAGGTGAGTTTTTAAACTCCTTAGTATATGTTTCATTATAAGGTGAATGAACAGTAATATGCGGGTGTGCGGCCTCCAAGCCATGCTGACAGTCTGTCTCCTAAATAGGGTAGTGCAGTTTCGTATTATCATGCTTGCAAAAACTGAGAAACTTCCGTCTTGAGTGACATCCTCCCTTAGCAATACTAAATTAGTAAAAAACCTTATTGTATTACTTCCAGGTTTAACACGAATGGTTTCATTGTGACGTTACAACTTTTCGATATATGTGTGCAAACAGATAACTAATGTTCACAATGACCAAAATTGTATTGCATCGAAAAGAAAAAACAACTCGATACAATATTTACTCCGAGTAATGAATGATTATATATTTTACTTAATGACTTTTTAAAATAATAAATAATAAAACTACATAAAAAACATTTATGTAAAGATCAATTAGTCTTTGCAATAAATTCTCAGCCCAGAAAAAGGTATACCAGATTTATCGGCTTTACCATTAATTTACATAAAATTTTAGTAATATATTCCGAAGTTGAAGATTAATTTGTATTTTATTAATTGAAATTAAAAAATTGAAAGCTATTACATTAAATATAAATTTTTTTCATTTTTATTCGTAGTCAATTGGTGGTTATTGATTATAAATTCCAGTTAGACCGCAAATAGATCTAAAAGGAGTAATCATCGTGAAGGAACTGTTCGTCCTAAACCAGAAAGTGAAACAGTAGGGTTTTTTACTAATTTAGTATTTGCTAAGGGAGAGGAGGCCATTCAAGACGGATGTTTCTCGGTTTTTACAAGCACGATAATACGAATCTGCACTACCCTAATTAGGTGACTGTCAGCATTATCATACATGGCTTGGAGGCCGCACACCCGCATATTACTGTCAATGAAACAAATACTAAGAAGTTTAAAAACTAAAAAGTTCATTAAAAATATGTTTTCTCTTCTTAATCTTTCTACAAACTTTATTTTATTCCATAAACGTAAATAATAAAATAAAACCATTTTATTTTTTTAAAATAAAGGATGAGGGTAAATAAATGGATTTTAACGTGTCAAATCCTGCAATAACAAAATAAAAAATGACAAGCGAAGAAAGGTTATTATTTTGACACGTTAATGAGGTAATAAATCGAACATTAGATGCAATCATTAAGATTTCTGATATTTTAACAGGCAAATATGATAATAAATATTTTATATGTTAGTCACTGTCATTTAGAAAGGGCATGATTTTCGATTGAAAATTGTTTTCGACACAATCCTTTAGATCATTTTTTTGACCAGGATTGTAGGACGCTTAATTATTTTTTTTTTTATGTATATTTATGTTGGAATTCCTTAAACAAACCAACATACACGGCCCGCTCTTCTTTGTATTGCATACATACACCTTAAAACCCTTCCTTTTCTTTTTTGCGATATTATCGCTTTCATTTTAATTTTAACGTTGTAACTTCGTTTCTTTTTAAATTCCGAATTTTCTTATTTTATTTTTTTAATTTTATTTTTTGCGTAATTATAAGAATATTTTTATTTCATACCGGGGATACCAGTATTCTAACACCTTACTCTAACTAACCCTAACTAACCCTAAACAAACCCTAACTCTGACCGTGGCAAATAGATATATGTGACAAATAAGATTCACCACTCAATCACCTGAATAAATAGTAAAAACAACTTGAGGGGTGTGATACGATGTGATACAAAAGGGTTGATATATATACCCATGGATATAGTTATAATATACTGTAATTTAAAATCGTTATTGAATTTAATAAATTGAGATTGTGAAAGTATAGAGCGCCGACGTTAAGGCAACACAGATTAATTGATCTTATTAAATAAATTTATCGTCATAATTACTTAATTTCTTCCTTCTACTTACAAATACAGATTGTTTATAAATACATAAACGAAAGAACTGAATACAACACAACAACAAATACTGCAATGCGGAGCAGTAGCACTCCATCAATTTTTATAACCAAGGGTTTTAACCTTTAGTTATTTAAAGACTGATATAAAACGCGTTGTACCTCAATACGACGTTGACTACGGGGTATATTATTGTCAGAACAATAAGTATAATTTATTGTATTATTTATTTGCTTAAAATAAATTATCGTTATTGTATAGCTAATTTTCATATAAACTCTGTGATATCACTAAAAATATTAAAAAACAAGATCGTCTACATCATACTGGTGAGCACGATAATAATATTAAATATCAAATTCCAATTCTTTTGTTTTATAATTCGATAAATTAGTTGTTTTATAACGTTTATCTATAATCCATAACGTATTAATTATTATTAAACTTTACTTTATATTAGTTTAATTTGAACATAACTTACCATTATTTTCAATCTGATCACTTTCTCTATCAAACTTTCGTTTACCTTCTTTTTTTTTTTTAAAAAAAAAAAAAAAAGTAGAGATTATTAATAATTGATGAGGATTATGTTCAATTAAAATAACATTTTTAAAAAAAAGTATTTTTTTTTCAATATTTATAAAACAAATTAATTACCAAAAACTGAAGAAATGGATTGACTTCGTAAACTTCTTGTGGATTCTGCAGATTTCATCATGCTACTTAAAGATCTACTCTTATAAATAGCGCTTGGATTGTTTGTTGCTATAGGTCCAATTTCTGATGATTCTACAATATCTGTTGGATTTTTATCTTCATCATATCGAGACTGATTAATTTTTCCTGGCAAAAACAAATTCGATGGCCTTTTACTTGGATCAGGGTCCCAGCAATTTTTCATTATTTCAATATAATCTTTAGGTGCGTTTATATTATAAACTGGAGGACGTAACCCATCACAAATTTCAAGAATCAGCTCAGTATCATGAGCACGATCCCAAAAAGGTCTTCTACCTGTCATCAACTCCCACATGATCATACCAAAACTATAAATATCTGAAGCCTTAGTATATTTTTGCCCTTGAAGAATCTCTGGGGCCATATAAGGAATAATTCCATAAGTTTCAACATCATCAGCATCAGTAGCAGATTTTCTCAATCCTAAATCACCTATTTTAACTCGTTTATTTTCTATTAAAATATTTCCACTATGAAGATCATGATGAATAACTTCATGGTGATGAATGAAAAAAAGACAATATGCAATGTTATTTAAATGTTTCATCTTAGTTAACCAACTAATATTAAAAAAATCTTTAGTTATATAATGGAATAGATCTCCTGAATCACAATAATCCATAATAATCACAAAATCTTTGGTAATAGGATCTTGCGTAATTCCATAATATCGATTAATTTCACTTACAAGTTTTAATTGATAATACATTTTAAGCTATAAAAGGATAATAATTTAGCACATAATATAGATAAATATATAAAAATAAAATTATGTACCTCATTTAACTCCTTTGAAGTAAAATTTTTAGAATTATGGAGTTTCTTAAGAGCAACTTGTTTATTAGATTTCCGTTTATACTCTGATTTTGATTTACTAATAATTGGACCATCAATCCAAGTAGCTTTATAAACTTTACTAAATCCTCCCTCACCAATAAATTCTAAATCTTTGAATTTTTCAAATGAAACTATTTCCATTATGCCTTTAGAATAATAATGAATTTGTGTACTTTTGATAAAACCGTCAATAATTTCATTTCCAATTGGATTAAAGGTTATGTTTGTTTCATAACAATTACGACAAATATTATGATCTTCTTCAGAAGGCTTTCTTCTTTTTTTACATTCTAAACATTTCTCAAATTTATGTTTAGGCTTTAATTGATCCGTGTTTTGCATTTGCTGACTTGATGAGTCATTTGATATTAAAAAGTCAATTTTATGTTTAAAGTTGATTAATTGATTCATGATTATTATAAATTCGTTGCAGCATCCAAAGCGCTACCTATTATATATATATACTTTATCATAAAATACTAAATAGAATTATTCCATAACTTCTAGAAAAGAAGTTTCCTCATTTCCGGCGGGAGTTTTCATCATTTTAGGCAATGACCTGTTATGTTTTTATGAAGGAATACTTTTATATGCGCCCCTGCATGCGTAGAAACGATAACCTTCTATGAAAGAATAAATTTTTTAATTTTAATTTCTTTATTTGTTCTGATAATTGTGTAAGACCCACATGGTTTGTTAATTCCTTTTTAATAAATTCTTAATTAGGTTAACTATATCCATATATATAGTTTTGCCAAACCATTTATGTGGCGATATTCTATGATTTATTTATAAAAGATTACAGTAATGATCAATGGCCTCCCGGTTTAGCAACGTTGTAAGATAAGTTGCTTAATTAAACATTATATTGAATTTTATTTTTTACAATTAATTATTGTTATTATGTAAAAAACTTTTTTATACTGGGCAAGAGTATAAAGAAAGATTTCCTAAAAAAATTTTTTTTTCAAATTAATATTCTATCGTTTATTGTTAAAATAATTTTTTTGGAAGAAAATATACAGTATATCGAAAATTAATCATTCGAATGAACTACAAAGTTAGGGCTTCAGGTTTTAAAACAATTTTCTTAGTTAAATATGAAGTTATATTAAATATTAAACGTTTCACAAGAAAAAAAAAAAGAAATCCCCAAAAGTACATAAAAAAAAAAAAAAAAAAAATGAAATGAAAAATAATGCGAATATGGTTTAAAATTTACATCAAACAAATCAAATACAGCCGCACAATGAAAGAACCAATTAAGTTACCGGACCCATTGATTCTGCGGTAGTACCTTGTTTTGTCGTTTCAGCCGAGACCTTATTATTCTATCGGAATTTCAACTCCTATTAGAAATTTCAAAAAACGGTTCGGTTTCGAAGTTCCTGCCAAATATGGAAACCAATGCCGGTTTGTGTTCACCCATTTCTGAAAGTTCATTTTGATGATCAACTCAAAGTTTATGTTATTGAAATAAGCATTGCATGAAATAAGCATCACATGTGAATTTACAGCTATATATCTTTAAATTTATTTTTCGTGATTCCGTTGTCGGATCGTAATCGACTACAAAATTTGGATAAATTGTCAACAGAAGAATTAGAACCCGAGTTCGTCACTGAAGTATCTAGGGCGGTCAAAAGTATTTTTATCCATTTCAAAGTACATAAACAAAATTACTATGCTATATGATTAACGATACATTATCTTCAAGATTAACTGGCTTTTTTGTAAATAAACTTCGATTAATATTTACAGAGTGCAAATGAGAGAGTACTTATCGGTAATTGAATAATAATTTAAAAAATTGTTTTTTTTGTGTAACATTTTTCAATAACCCTAACTAAATTATAATAGCGTGGGGGTAAATTAGTAAACCCAACAAATTTCCGGTCATCTCTTTTCTTAATAACTTCATAAAAAACTCAGCAAACAATAATAAATTAATCATCGATCCTCTGCACAAACTGAATAAGAAAAAATTAGAATATAGTAAAAAAAGTCTAAAAAATAATAAAATAGATTCTCTCTCCACTCCATCACGAACCGAAAAAAAAAACTTTAAAAAATTAAAATATAGTAATTAGGAAAAAAAAAAGCAATGCTCAAAAATAAAAATAAGAATTAAATTAATCAAAAGAAAAAAGAAAATTAACAGTACCAGATTTTCCATTTAGAACCTAAAAATGAATCATGATAAAAAAAGACTTTAGTAGTATAGCGTTGTATTCAGTTCTTTCGTTTATGTATTTATAAACAATTTTAAATGTAATCAGAAGGTTTTTATTGAGTAAAATAAAGTAATGTTGACGCAAAAATTTATTTAAAATATCAATATAATCAATGTTGCCTCAACGTCGGTGCTCTACACTTTCGCAATGTCAATATACAATACAATAAGTCTCTAATTAATTAAAAACTGCGAAATTACGAAGAAAAATCGGTATTAAAAAAAATATAAACGAAATTACAAACATGAAATTTATAATGTTAAAACGGCGAAAGCGAAATATCGCGAAGAGATAAAGGAAAGTTTTCTATATATGCAAATATAAGAAGGGCGAGCTTGGAATGTTTAGCTATTAAGATTTCCACGTATTAATAAAAAAATAATTATTAGGACAGACTGGCATCCTGTAATTTTGTCATCCTGGCATCCTAACAACCTGTCCTGTGACAACATTGTAAAATGATCTACATGCGAAATTATGGTGTGTCTGTGCGGAATTATATTTAATGTGACAATAGCGTTAACAAATATATATATAAATATATATAGAGATTAAAAAAGGTATAAAATTTAAGTATTTTACCCTTATAAATTTATAAATATAAAATATATTGTAAATTCTAAAAATTTCCCTTTTCAAAAAAAAAATTTCCTATTAGGTCGGTTATATTAGGTGGTTGTGTAATTATTGAAATGTGACTGTATATTTACGCCATTATTTTCATTTCAGAAATCTGTGGTACATGTACATAAAATAAAAGTAACTCCTTTTTTTGTCAAAAAAAAAAAAAAAAAAAAAAAATATAGAAGAAATGGAAGGAAGCTCAAGCCAGGTAAATTAAATTTAAAAGTATCCAATACTTAAAATTGTTTACATATTTATATTATTTAAATAATAATAAAATAGAGTGGAATTTCTAGAAGATCTGCGCCACGAAACTTGAACACTTCATCTAAAACGGAATCCAATTATGTCCTTCTCAGTTTAGAGGAGGAAGGTTATACCACGCCAGATGAAAAAGTAGAACAACTTATAACAAAATTAACAAAATCAAAATTTTTATATTGCTCTAAAATTACTTTTTGAAAACCTACAAAATAAATTTTCATCTCAAATTTTAGTTGATTCATTAAGAAGTTTAGCCAACCCTACACTATTTGACCATCATTCAATGGAAATTGTTACAAGATTGGAATTACATTTACGAACTTTGGTAGCAGCTTTGGAACTGATATGCTTTTCGCAGATAGTTATTGGTAAAGAAATTCGGGATAAAATTTACGATTCTTTAGCAAAATTTGCGGAATTCCATCGTAAAAACATACAAGTAATTGAAGAAGGACTTGTTAGCGGCCTTAAGTCAAAGTACAATCCATCAAATCAACAAGATGACAAAGATAACAAGGGTATTGAAAAGCATAATTATAATATTGACTTTTTGTTGATTCACTTGCGCGATACACTACACAGCCTGCGTGATGATGAAACTTGGTTTCAAGAAATTTTAAGAAGAACTAAAGAATTGTTGAAGGCTGTTATAAATATTGCACCAGGAATTGCAAGTATTTTAGCACCCGGAATTGCTCTTCCAAATGACAATTGTTCAATCTTATCAACGCTTACTCAATTACGTCAAGGTTTAAGTTTTAAATATCCGGTCGCTTCTTATTATATAGATTGGAGAATTATGTTGATGATTCAACATAATCTTTTAAACTGGTCTGTAAGTGATGAAAAGATAATTGGTAGAAAGTTTGGTGAAAGAATCTTAATGGAATATCTTTGGAGTTTTTCAGAGAGAGAGTGGAATAGTGTCGCTGATAAAACTATGTTAAATTCACAAACTAAATTTGATGAAGTATCAAATAAACTCTTCAAGATTTTAAGAAACACTGGGGGTATTTTAAATGATATTTCCGGAAACGAACCACTCGCGTTACCAAATATGTTATGGTTTGGCATACTAGATCTTGCACAAAATCTCATTCAAAAATCTACTCAACCGGTTATACAAGGACTCTGTTATTATTTGGCAATTGAATCACTAAACAAAGCTCTAAGTAGTTTCATTCAATTTAAAGCAATTGAGATATTGTTACACTTGCAAAATATAAACGAAGAATCGTTTTCAATGATGGAAATTGATTTCAAAAAATACACGCAAATATTATATGAAAACAATTCAAATAGTGAATCTTCGGAAAGATTTCAATGTTTATTATCATTCGTTAAAGAAAAATGTCATCAAGACTTAATTATGTTAAATGATGATATAGGAAAAGGAAAAGGAAAATGTATAGATAAGAATACGTATTTTAGACAAGAGCAAACATTAAATTCCCGTAAGATAATGGATATTATCATAGATGAAATGACTTGTCCTATTAGTCTTGGACTGGAAGATCAATTTTATCTTTTAAAATGTCAACATAAGATATCATTAAATATGTATAACAAATTAACACAAAAAAAGTGTCCTATATGTCGAGAAAGTATTGAAAATAATGATGTCAAATACGTGTCACAAAAAACTATTTATAAACATCTATATCCCTGTTTTGATGATACTGAAAGTAATCTAAACTTGGATCTAACAAATAAACAATATGAGGATGATTCCGAGGACGATTCTGATAATTCAGAAGTTGATCAAGTAATAATTAAAAAAATGAATCTTAAGGAAATTAAATTGAAATTAGATATTTTACAACCAAAAAATTTACGTCCGGCTTATCAGAATGTTATAAATGAATTAGCAAATAAAAATTATGAAAAAGCTATATCAATAGGTCAAGTATATTTAAGAAAGTTTCCTAATAGTTATACAACGAGATGTATTTTAGCTTATGCTTGCAGATGTCTTAATAACTATAAGCAAGCACACTCATATTTAGATGAGGCTATTATAATAAAAAAAAGCAAACCTATTGCATATTTTATTCGTGGAGAAATACTTTTCAGGCAAGGCGACTATTATTTAGCAATAAATGAATTAGAAAAATCAAAAAACCAAAATAATAAGTTGAATATAATTTTGGGTAATTGCTATCTTTTGGAAAGAGTATATGATGCTGCTTTAGAAAGCTATGATGTTGCATTACAAAATGATTCGAGAAATTATTTATGTTTGAAGTATTGTGCATTTATTTATGAAATTCAAGAAAGATATTCAGAAGCGTTAGAAATGTTAGATAAATTACTGGAAATTAATCCAGAAGATTCTTTAATACTATGTTATTATGGAGAAATTCTTAATTATTTAAGAAGATATTATGATTCAATATCGCAATTTACAAAAGCATATAATATTGATCCTGAGAATACCCATATCTTAATTAAAAAAGCTATTACTCATTACGAACTTCAAGAATATGAAAACGCCCTATCAGATCTTAATGAATTAATGCAATTTGATTCTTCAAATAGTCTTGTATATTTTTATAAAGGACTAATATATTATGCATTAGGAAATAATGAAAAAACTAAAATTGAAGTTGAACAATGCATATTATTATTTAATTATAATGATAATTTGGCGAAGTTTTTGTCAAAATATTGTTATGATAAAGCATTCAATAGCGGAAATATTTTATATAAATATTTAATGCAAGAATATTTAGATACAAAATTATGGTCATTTTTATACGATTATCATATTATTAGAGATGATAATTTGAGTAAACTTGGAATAATTAATAAATGTTATAATGTCATGTATAAAAGTAAGAATAATATACAAGCTATTAAATTTAGAAATATAAACATTAACATTTTAATTTTCGAATTGTAGGAAAAGGAATCTATTTTCTTTCTAATCTTGTAAGTTTAAATAGTGAATTTCATCGGTTTCAAGAAATGGATTCAAATAGGTAAGCTTTTATATTCTATTTTATACAACTAATACTTCCATTAATCTAAGTTTATCTGGCCATGTGTTATCTTTTGAAGATGAAGTAATTCCTATTGTTTTGCCCGAACTTAAATATAATTCCCATGAATTTATTATTATTGTTTGAAACTAAATGTTAAAAAGATATTGAATAAAGATTGTTCTGTGGAGTTTATTTTTAAACATGTAAGTTATATATATATTAAATATGTATAATCTTAAAATATTTATTAATTTTTACACATTGAAATCCATTATTTATTTATAGCTAAAAGAAATACATTTATTAAAATACGAGCAGTTATCTGCACTTATTGGATTGGGCTGGGTTGAATATACACTTCCATTTCACTTATATAATCCGTCACAACTTTCAATTAATTTAAAGAATAATTCTATAATTATGGTATGTAAACCTGAAATTTATGAGCAAGTTATGGATATATCGATATTAATTTTTTTTATAATTTTAAAGCAAATAGATTATGTTCGACTGAAAAGGGATGAAGGTAAAAAAATCTATATTCTTAAGATGGATAATCCCTTTCAAATCAATAAATCTTACCCAAATATTCCTAAAGTAT